TTGCAGTAGATCTGCTGCATTTTTGAGACGAAAAAAAAATCTACTGCGAAATAGTCCCAATATACTGAAATTTTCCCCAGAATTTCCAAATTGAAAGCAATTTTTCGAACGTGTAAATTAAGTGTTATCAATAAAATCACAAAATGCAACTCTGTGGAGAAGATTACTTAATGCACGATTACTTTCATCGAGCAAAAGAATACTCGAGTACTAGTACTTATCGGTTAAATTTTCTTGACAAAAGTACTCGTTAAAGTAGTCGTTTCGTTAACTGAGTTTTATTTCCTCAAAGCAAGGTACATTGAACAGGTAGTATCAGTAGAGCAGCTGATTTGATTTATTTTCAAATTATTTGGTCTCGAAAATGTCAAATATTTTTAATTTTTTCTCACAAAAATTCTGAATTGTTAAAATCCATTTGCATGTGAAACCTTTTTCCATACAAAACAAGCGATTGAATAGCAGCTTTTGGAACGTTCGCCCAACTCAGCAGCACGACCGCTGATTACTGGGCCTTGCAAAGGATGGATCAATGCTTCGAGAAGCAAACAAATTTACTAGGAAAGAAAGTTGCATCAATTTTTATTTTTTCCAATTTCAATTTTTTTATTTTTTATAATTTTTTGTATTTCACATGGCACGCTTTGATTTAGAAGAAAAAATTCAGAACAGTTTTTGATACTTTCGATACCAGAAGCAACAACAAAATACACGCAAATGTTGTTTTTGCTCTACTGATACTACCTGTTTAATGTGCCTTGCCTCAAAGTGCGCGTAATCATGGAAACGAAAAATAATAGGTAAGTAAATGTATTTAGATAACTTACATATTTTATTATAATGTATTTATTTTTTAATGTAGAGATGAACAGCGCAAAAATAAATATCTAAGAATTATAAACCAGAATGGGAAGCGGGCCGGCCGTGGTTGCATAAATTTAATAACACTGCGTTTTGTAAAATTTGCGCCAAACAACTTGACAACAATTTCACAAACTTAAAGAGGCATGAAAGTGCAGCAAGCCACATAAAAAAATCGCAGAAAATAAAAATCAAAAGTCGATAGAAAGCGTGCTACAAAAAGAGCTGGAGAGGAATGCCTTAGAGGATAAAAGCCTAAACAAGGAGGTAACAGTTACTATGTACTATGTCGCACATTTTTTGCCATTCAAAATAATGGATAGTTTACCGAATGTGATTAATCTATATATAAAAATGAAATGTTTTTCGCATGACCGCGATGCCAGACCAAACGGTTGAACCGATTTCAATTCTGTAAAAAGTACTTTCTTGGACCTTCTGTGTGGAAGGTTCTTTGATTTAAAAATATTTGAAATTTTTCGTTGTTGTTGACGAAAAATGAAGAAAGCTGAGACGTCACGATTTCACAATTTCATAGTTTTCCGTATATTGAATGTCACTAAACTACTAAACGGCTGGACCGATTTCGTTCATATTTGGAACATATTTCAGCACCTTGAAGGGAAAGATTTCGACTAAAAGTTTAATCGCTAGGTGGTGCTGGGGTCGGGATATTCATAAAAATTGCA